TTTTTTTTTTTTTTAATCCCTCTTTCACATTCTTTCTTTCTTGATCCTTTTCAACTGTTGCTGCTTCTTTACAGGAACTCAACGGCATCCATCCAAAGACTCACACACTAACCCGCAATGTGAAAGTGAGGCGAAGTCCGGTAGAATTCTTTTTTATTCTACCCTCTCACTTCCACCTCCTTTCCTTTTTTTTTTATTGCTGCTCCTCACTACATATCACAACATGCCCCTCTTACCACATACAAATTTAAACATCGCCAAAAAGATAATAATAATAATAATAATAATAATAATAATAATAATAATAATAATAATAATCAATCCAACAATACAAACGGTATTCTACAAAAAACACTACTTCTTTGGTGTAAATAATTCTATTTGAATAATATGACGGCGATCAAAGAGAACATTATGATCAAAGAGATAACGTGCCTCACCATAGGCGATGCCCGCACCAATACCAGTAGAGAACATCACAATAGAGCTACGTGCAGCCACAGAACGGGCCATTAACAGTGCAGGTAAAATACCCGAAACGAATCCCAGACTAACTTTACGAATGAAGTTTTCTGTGGAGTGATCCCATTTCTCTTCGTTGTCGATGGGTGTCAACGACTGTAGAACCTGCGGTTTGCTCATGAAGAAGTTTCTTTTTATTTTTTTTTTTTTGTTTTAGTGGTAGTAAGAAGAAACTGTCTACTTTTCTTTTTTTCTTTTTTCCTGCTTTCCTAAAACTTCTTCTTTTTACCGAACAGTGTTCCAGAAACGAAAAAGAAAAATAAAATATATAAACGAGTTTTCAAAAATCATTTCAATAATAAGAAAGAAGTATAGTCAAGAAAAACAATGTACACATCATATATACACAGTAATACATGTACAACATCCTATTTTCCCCCCTACGAAGGGTAATAAACCAAAGAAAAAAAAAAAAATGGCTTTAACTTTTGTCGTTTCTTTTTATTCTTTTTTTCTTAATCGTGAAAGCAAAAATGTTGGCTTTCCCCAATTCCAAGAAACATTAATCACAACGTATATTTTTCTACAAATAGAAATTATTCAAACAACAACACAGTTATGCGTTTTACTGGCACACAAGAGAAATTCAAGATATATATGTATATAGGTCATCGTATGCCTATGTACACCCACAGAGAAAGATATTCCTATAAGCAAACCACAACTCAGAACATATCATTTCCAACAGGGAGTTTTTTTATCTTATCTTCTTTAACTTCTCAGACTCGTCCTCTTCAACTTCTCGAAATGCCTTCAACAGACGTTTTAGGTACACTGCCTTATTCTCACCTTCCCGTTCTTCAAATTTTTTAATCACAAACTCCGCGTTATTTAATTCCCCACGTGCCATACAGTGCAGTAGAGATTCAATATCCTCAGAAAAGGCTAACTCTGTCTTATCCACACTACGTGCATACCCCATCGCCTTTAATGCTCCCTGTGGACTCCCAGAACTCACGCAAATATGTAAAAGAAGACTCAACATGTGTGGAGGTAAAGATGTAGGTTCTGACTCGGTGTTATTAACAGTGTGACGTACCGCTCCATCCTGCTGTAATTGTGTTGCCCAACTAAGTGCCGAGAGCCAATGCACACGACCAGCCATCGTGGTAGTAGCGGTACGATTGTGTTGTAGAACACATATTAAAGCCGCTTCAATTGCTGCAGGTGTTAACATTGTTTGTGATGGTACTATACAACGTTGAAGTATTTCCACCACAAGAGATGCTTGTTTTGCCTCCCGCATCTGAATCACAAGTGCGCTGGCTACATCACATGTCAGTGTACATGGAGACATGGAAAGTAATACAGATGAGGCAATACGCCACGCTCCTTCTTCTGAACACTTTCGTATAAGAGTACCCACAACAACTGGATGACGCAATGTAGCCACAACAGCATCAGAAGTAACATTCTTACAATATATAGCAGCAGCCTCACTAAGAAAGGTAGCAGAATCTTCAGCAGAAGGAAGTTTATCTACAATAGATGCAACAAAAGCTACTGAAGATTCAGATTCACTTTCTAATAAACGCAGAGTTTCTCGTACCATAGGATATTTCAAAATAGATGTTTTAAGTTGTTTCCCATCATTATCCTGTGTCATTTCTGGTAATGTTTTCATATCCCATTCTGTTGAGAATGCTTTATTTTGCATCATCACCACTTGTATAAATGGTTCTAATGGAATGTATTTAATTGCTGATAAGATAGCTTTTGTTTTTTCTTCTACACTATATGTAGTACTTCCTGCAAGATGCATAAGATAGGATACACACATTTCATTTGATAAGGCCACCTGCCATGGTACAGCGGCTACCACATTATTAAGTACTGAAAGGATACTTCGTTGCTGAGGTGTTGGTTTCCCAACAGAATCAGGTAGTAATGCATGTGAAGATGCTACTGTGGCAGCGGCACCATCTGCTCCAATAGGACGTAGACTCTGAATACAATCTGGAAGTGTTTCTGGAGATTGTTTATGTAGTAATTGAAGGAGCGTTAGTGCCGTACTCCATGCCTGTGGTGTGGCACAACAGTCCGCTGCAGCGATAAGCATTGGTTGCGTCAACTTCCCATTGGCTTGATTAAATTTAAGCAACATAATGGCGGCCGTCCACTGTTGTTGTGGGGCACATAACCGCAGTGTGGAGAGAGTGAGGCGTGAGTGGAGTGCGGCCCCGTGCGCCAACGCGGCCTCTGCGTAGACGCGGAGAGCGGCCTGCCACGGCACCCTGGCGGTGTGGGCGGGGGCGTGTTGATTGTGCTGCAGCATGCGGGCGAGGAGGGCGCGGTGTGCGGCCTGCGGAATCGACTGCGTGGAGTACGCGGCGTGGAGGAGCGCGCAGCCCCGCTCCCACGAGACGTTGGCGACGACACGCGTGAGAACCTCCGGGCGCCGGCGGAACACGTCGCTGTGGGCGTGAAAGAGCGGCGCCGCGTGAGTGACGGGACTGCGGTTCAACTGCCGGCAGAGCGCCGCCAACGTGTCCACGCCCCCACTCCGCATCCCACAGATATAGACAGATATATATATATATATATATAGAGAGAGAGAGAGAGAGACTGTGTAAGGAGAAAGAAAGAGAGATAAAAAATATATATCAAAGAAAAAAAAAAAAAAAAAAGAGACACTATTACAGAATGGGCAAAAGAAAAAAAAAAAAAGAATATGATTAAACGTAAAGTTGTTGCCTTCTCATGTGTACATGTAAAAAAAAAAAAAAAAACGCTGGAGAATGCGCCAGCAGTATAACGGTGTCCTCTCACCAAAGAAGATAGAATAAATCCCATCGAGGGAGCTGTTCCTTCTTCTCCCGCTCCCTATTCACATGATTCCAAAAACGACGGTGTTCAGAGGCGGTGATAGCAAGATTGCATAGTGAGAACAATAGTACGCCTAGAGGAGCCACATAATTTAACAAAAGAGAAATAAAAACCAATAATAACATTAGCGAAACATGACAATCCCCTTCCCCTTCACATGCTGTCATTAATAACAGAGGTGTGCTAGGATAGAGTAGACTCCATATACTAATAGTGTTAACAAGATACATTACAATCTCACATGTGTAATGTGGTTCCAGTACGTAAACAAAAAGAGACGTATAGGGAAAATGATACATAGAACCTGATGTACCTTTTCTTTCTTGGTTAAGCATATCTTTATTATGTATTACTTTTTCATGCTTCATTATGACATTCTTTTCATGAGATTTGATTAAAGTAGAAGATTCATTACGTAATTTTGCCAAAATACGATGATGAAGCACCTGCACTCCCTGAAGAATTAAATGAAGAACAAAACAAATTACAATAATCATAACAGAAAACTTAAAATCATAGACGTTTCCAGATAACTCGAATCCTTTACATTCATGAGAGGATAACCATTCAATTTGTACAGCACGAAAAATAATAGCACTACTGGAATTGGCCGCAAATACGTAAAAGGAACACCCTGCAAAAGCAGCAAATAATGTTACTGAATCACCTTTTCCATTTCGAAATCGATGAACAAATAAACACTCCCACAACCGCACAGTACAATGAATAAGAAAGGCCACTAAAGGTAATAAATCATATGGCCATAATGTATTTTTTAAAACTTGTTCAGAACAAGAGGTACTTATTATTATACTACTCAAATAAAGTTGAAAGTACTCAAGGAATAAGAGTGTTAAACTAGATACAATACCTGTAATGTAAAAAGCGCAAAAGCTATATTTCCGACTTACCCGCATTTGACCCAAAAATGAACCTTCTAACCATATAAGAATGGTAGTAACATTTTCACGAATCCTCCGTAGTATCCATGTATTTTTAATATAATTCATAAAATAAGAAAATTTATTTTCTTCCTTAACGATATTACTTGTTAATTGCTTTCCTGATGATGATACTGCTAATGATGTTGATGATGACGATGTTTGGCGTCCACCGTATTGTGCCATACTACGAAAGTGGGGATCGCCAATTCGTAGAAGAAGAACGAAGAGAGACGCCAACCAATAAACACAGGTCAACAATGCAAAGAAAGCATATACTGTAAGAGACATTCAAATAAATCTAATAGAAAAAGAAATGTATATATACATATGTATTTTTTTTTTTTGTTTCTCTGAGCCCACTTGATAGAGAAATAAAAGAAAAAGATGGAAAAGAAAAGAAAAGAAAAGAGAACAACAACAATAAAAAAATAAATGATACATTAAAAAGACGTACAACCTTTAAAACTACCACAAAGCAGTTTTACTATTGAAACTACTTACTAGTATTCTTTTCCTTTACTCTGAAAAACAGAAAAACAAAGGCTTAATAACAACAGAAAGGAATAACTGATGAAACCACTATCTGTTTCAAGAATCATTACACTAGTGCACAGGAGGAAAACATATATACATGTCTACACTTCCCACACAAACACACAAATAACCCACACTCTTTCTCTCTTTTTCTTTTCTATTTCATCATCATGTTAAGAAAGCTCCCCCAAAAGGGCAACAAAAACACAGAACAGAAAGAAAAAAAAAAAAAGAGCCACGCTTCCACACACACACACACACACAGCGATAAAATAACTACACTAATCATTTATTCACTACCAGAGGAAAAAATAAATAATAATAGAAAATATGCACAAGAAGGAAAAAAAAACCCCAAATCCCACAAAAATTCCTTCTAATATCTAGGAGATTCCCCCATCAAGCCCGATTCTACCCTACCCCATCCCCACCCCCAAAAAAATAAAAAGGAAAATATATTTTTCAGGATCCCCTCAGGGAAATAGAGAAATATACATCCTATTACTACAGACGAAACAATCAAACAAATATATATATATATATATGCCTTTCCTAGCAGTTTCACTATCACAGACTTTAGTGATGCTCCGGTGCAGCACGACGGCGAATATCCGGTTCTGGATCCCCGGGTTCCCACAAGTAACTTGCCAAAAAGTTCGTTCCTCCCCATCGTACTTCCAACTTATTCTCTGCTATTTCTTTTTGTAACATCTCATACTTGATGGCGTAGTCTGGGTCATCCAGATCCATCTGTCTAAAAAAGAAATTAGAGTACAAAGGTCGTTTACCAACATTTGCTACTCGTGTACGTTGGGCAAACGTCACATCAAAAACCCAATAAAATGCAAAAGGAAAGATAATACCATACACGAAAAGAATTTGACCTTTAGCGTCCTTTACCTTTCCAAAGGGCTGACCCCACCAACCAGGGTTTATTGCAACAGGATAGAAGGCAGGAGCATTACCATCACCATGCTGACCAGGAACACGTGCGTACTTTCGGCAAACACGTGCCATCATAGAGTTTCGTCTCGACTGCATGACTACAGTAGATGATGAAAAACAAAAAAAAAATAAAAAAAAAGAAAAAAAAAGAAACAGGAAGCTGATCAAACCTCCACTATTGTTTTTTTTTTTCTTCTCTACTAAGGCGATTTTGAAACCCCTTTTTTATACTAATATTGAATGAAAGAGAAAAAAAAACAGAAGAAATATGATAATATGAGATTGGAAATCACCAACTAAGACCAACACATAAGATTACGCTTGAAAAATAAAAAAAAAAAACACATAAAAGGGATATTTTTTATTACTCTCAATTGATAATAATAATAATAATAGTAACAACAATCCGTAGAAAATAGAACGTCAAAAATGCCGAAAAAGATAATACCCGCATGGATTTAGATTACGGAAACCATCCAAGTCCATAACGTTCTACATGACTAACAGGAGAAAGAAAAAAAAAAAAAAAAACTGAAGTACAAGATGAAAACAAAAGGACAAATACCATCCATGTCAGACGAAAAAGTTTGACGCTCACTGAAACCTTTGAGAAGTCACAAATAAATTTAAAAAAAAAAGGGGGTTGAAAGATGTAAACCTTCTAAGACTTTTATTCAGACCTTGCACTTGTACGTCCAAGAAGCTTAGAGTCAGACTCCGCAAAGGTTTCGCGGATGATAGAGACTGGTACTCCACTAGTATCCCTACATGGACTGGATATGCTGCTCACCGGCAACCCTGCGTAGGATGAAATTGGATAGGGAGGAACGGTCCCTGCAGCAGAACGATAGTCTCCATGGACGGAAGGCTGAACTTTGTTTGTTTGAGAAATTGGTGTATGCATTGCTCTTCGGTTATCAGAACTGTAATACGGCATATTTACATTCGAACTCTCATGACTTGGAAGGGCTTGCTGAAGATGAGATCTAACACGAATATCTACCGCCTGAGTTATTTCAGTAACGATATCTTTCAAAAAATCATCAAGTTTTTTTATCGTATGTGATTCCGTACGTTTTGTGTGTTTATGAAGTAAAGGTGCTACAACACCTTCAACAAATGTTCGAAGAGCATCTTCAGGAAAGTCTACTGACACTTGATGATTATAATGATGATGAGAGGCTCGAGATGATTTTTTATGTTCCAGCTGTTGACGTTCTTGTCCTGATGAAACTTGTGCCGTAGTAAGCCTATGTTCAAGTTCCCGACGTCTTTCAGAAGCTTGCTGAAGTAAAGCCGTTTTAATCATTGTTAAATCTTCACGTTGATGGTTTAAACTTTGTGTAAGGGAAGCCACAGCCTGCTCTAACATACACAGGCGATCATTAAAACTTTTTTGTACTTCTACAGTTTGAGTTACTGGTACACCATTTCCAACAGAAGCAAAATTTTCAGCTGAACATCTACGATGAGGACAGTGAGAAGCTTCACATGAACCACTATTACCTCGACGTTGTCCCTGACCACGTAATGGTGGTGAAGGAACTTCTTCTTCCTCTTCCCCTTCTTCTTCTTCCTCTTGTGGATATACAAGCATAGGTTCTTGTGGAACGTAAAGAAGCATATTTTTCTTTGGTGTAACAGTTTTAATAGGATGAAGAGCACGTATATCTTCATCAAGTTCTTTAAGTAATACACTCATTCGGCCTGATGACCCTTCTTTTGTTTTCGCTACAGAGAAATCACCACCTCGCAAACCTCTAAATCGTGCACCAGGATCATTGGCAAAAACCACCACGTGGTTCATATAGGTCGGACCAGATCCAAAAGTTTCTAAAATCTTCATACGAATAAACATATGATTAGAAGGAATAGGGCTGGGCAGTTTCCATATCTGCGTACCGGCCCCTGGCACGGCCTGGCAGACCAGCTGCGCCACCATATCCTCGCAGGACTCACCAGAAGCTACTTCCACCGTTTTGGGATTTGTAAGATAATCGTGCCATACATGCCAACCAACATACTGCAGCGGTGGGTGTGGATTGGCAATTTGCAGCGTCACGTGCTGCGGGGCATCGCCTGTAATCCAGAGAAGATCTTCACGCTCCACAAGAAGATTGGACGCCTCACTCGCGACGCGTGCTGCCTCGTGTGACACTTCAACCACCTTTGCTCCGTTTTCGCCCAGAGCCCAGTTCCTCTCGGTCATTGAATGACCACCCCTTTTCACGTCTCCTCTATAAGCAAATGGATACCATGGGAGAGGGGGGAGGGAGAGGAAAGGAAAGAAAAAAAAAAAAAAAGGAAAAGGAAAAAAGAGAGAAAAATCAAGAACGTGAAAAGGACAGAAAAAAAAAAAAAAGAAAACATAAGAATAACAACAAAAACAAATGAAAACCACTTGTTTTGCATTTTTTTTTTTGTTTTTCCTCCACCTTGCGGTTGAGTACTTCCTTTTTTTTTTCTTTTTTCTTTTCATCTCTTTCATAATCATGACACAATACATGTATAACCAAAGTTGGATGAAGGCAGAGAGTACACTGGTAAAACAAAACAATATAAAAAAAAAGAACGAAATAAAAACGAGAAAAGAGACATGAGGTAGAAGGAGAAAGAAAAAAAAAAAAAAGAAAAATCATAACTCAGATAAGTTTTCTTTTTTTTTTTTTCATTTTTCACAAATTGAAATTGTTTATTTACATATTGACTCTTTCCACCTTATCCCCCATCTGCTTTCATAACATAACACAAGAGCGTCAATGAAGTAATATCTACACTAAAAGGGGTATAAGAAAACAGTGCATTGCAATTCAAGTGTTTCGTTTTTTGTTTTTTTTTTTTCTCCTTATTCACACTGTAATCTTGTTGTGACTTTCTCTTTTCTTTTAGACTTGCTTTTGTTTTTATTTTTTGTGTTTTCTCCACCTCTACCTTCTTCTTCTTTTTTTTTTTTTTGTTCCTCACAGCAAGCATACATGTCGACCAGGAACAGGGCGACTCATCATCTTTGGTGAAGTTGTACGAGTAGGCGTAGGAATAGATTTCCCCACTCCTCCAGCTTCTGTTTTAGTTGTAGTAGTTGTTATTGTGGTTGTGGTTGTGGCTACTGCAATTGCTGAGGGTGATGATGCCGCGTTATTCTCTTTGCTGCGACGCATTTGCGCCAGTGAGGCAAAGTAAGTTGCTTGAGAAGTCAACACTTCACCCCGTCCCTTCTCAATTCTTACCATCATGGCACTATTGGGTACAAGGTTTGGAGTATGTGAAATGTAGTTCTGATTATTGGCGGTTCCAGGAAGAGGAGCAAAGTCTGGCACTACATGAAACCATTGCTTTTTTACTCCTGTCGTTATTGGCCATGATGACTGTTGATCACTATAAACATTTCTATTCCTTTTACTTCCTTCCTCTTTGCTTCTCTGCAATTGTGTTGGTGAAAGTGGAAGTAACCGTTGTTTCTTAGGATGTGGTGGTGAAGGTGGTTTTCGAATAATACCTTTTTGTGGTTCTTTTCCAGCGTAAATAGCACAAAGTTCAGGTGTAATGACGGGAGATTCTTCTTCTTTGGGTGCCAATTTGCGTAAAAATAATAATGGAGGAGGTCCTGCTTTTGGTTTTCGAGTCTCAAACGATTCTGTATTCGCATTATCAACATGTGAAGTAACTTTAGACGCTCTACGCACATCCACTTCTTTTTTAATTTGACGTTCACCATACTTCGGAAGAGCTTTTACGGAACGAGAGGTATACGGTGAGAGTAAATGTAATGGTTTTGCTTCACTGTTTTTATTCTTTTCCACTGGGGACCCTAAAGATAACTCACTTAAGGTACTCAATCGTGATCCAGAGAGATCACCAGTAGCACGACCTTGTTTACTTCCAGTTGCAGTAGATAACTCACGTGAAAATCCACTTCCAAGAGTTTTTCTTGATCGACGAACCACACTTTTTTCAAGAACAGGATTTTTTTCAACCCCTAAACTGTGTTTTGTAAGACGTTTCTCAGGTGGAAGATATGCACTTAAACGTGGTAATTTTGCTACAATAGGTGCAGGTAAACCAAGTTCACGCATTTGTAAATCACGGGCATTAGAAATAATTGTACTTTGTATTAGTTTAGGTGTACTATTGAGTTCTGTTCGTATAGTTAGCATAGGTATTGCCCATAATTCCACCGTAGTTGTCGTCTCCCATCCATTTGGCCATTTTTCCAATAAAAGACCTTCCCATCCACCACCTATAGTACATAGGAAACTTTTTGCTGGATTTGGAGGTAATGGAGGTGATAATTCTTGATGTTCATCTGGGTATGTAATGGTATTTTCATTATCATTGTCAATAGAAGAAAGAAATGACCATTTACTTCGAGTAGAATTAAATAATGGTGATACAGATGATAAGGCCTCTATAGCAGCTGAAACATTTTGTGGTCTACTACCAGACAATTGATCAGTAGTATAAGTAGTATTCATAATTTTAACATCTTTTCCAGGAGGCACTGGACGAGATTTAACTTGTTTTTCCTTCTTTCCCTTAGTAACTTGTTTTTCTTGAGAATCATCACTTTCAGAAGGTGGTACTACAGCAGGATGTGTCGGAACACGATTAAAGTTTCGAGGATCTCGTACATCTCCAACGGTAAGAATATAAATTTCTCGAATATTTTGTGCTGGTTCACATATAGATACACAACGTTCCACCACTCGAGGTTCAGCCGCATGTGCAATATTATTAAGATTAGAGAAAGGTAATCCTACCAATATAGGAACAGTACTTAAGGCTTCTGGTGCAAGTTTCATCCAAAGTCGTCTTTGAGTTGTTAACTTTTCTCGTACTTGTAGAAAAAGAGCTGCATCATCTAATAAGGCATTAACAAATCGTTCTCCCTCAATTTTATAAAAAAGAGCTGCACGACTAACCACTGTACACCTATACTTTAATGGTCCAGGTAAAATATGAGGTTCCTCTCCCAAAAGCAAAAATCGTGTATTCAAAGCAAAATTATTATCTGCATTATTGGGTGATATGATTTGTTGTGTTCCACTCTCATACGTCATATCTGGTCCAATTTGATCTCGTGCAACATGTCCTTCAAGAAGGCAATAAACCACACCAGGTGAATCTCCTTGATTAAAAAGAACATCACCATTTGTTAATACCAAAGGTGTAAAATCTTTTACATATTCTTCAATAGATCGATCAATATGGCGGTATATAGGAACTCGACTCATAGATTGTGGCATTGGATAACATTGATGTAAACGTTCCATTTGATGTTTTTTAAAAGCATCCAAGTAAACTTTTTTCATATTTTCATCTGCATATTGACCAAAAAGTAACTCAAAATCTTCTCTAGAAATAATCCAAACAATACATTGTGAAACCGCTCTAAACGTTTCTGTAAAAACAGATTTTCCACCAAAAAGACCACCAAATATTCCACCAAGTGGAACACGAGAACGTTTTACTACTTTTCTCTCTTCATTAGATGGAAGAATTGCATCACATTTACCAGAATAAAGAATATACAAGGCATCTTGTGATGGACTTCCAGCATTTACAATTGCTTCTCCAGCTGGAAAACGGTATCGTTGCACAACTTCTGCAAGAGTATCACAAAACTTTGGATTACGAAAAGCTTCAAAAAAAGGAGAATGTTCAATAAGAAAACTTCCCTGTGGTTTTTGTCCCTCATTCTCACGTAGTAATACTGGTGGATGTACATGCAATTTTTTTAACGTACTACTTATTGTACCTTTTATTCCCCTCTTTCTTAATATAATAGGTAATAAAAGTGTCTCAAGTACTTTACGCAGACGTGAACGACGGTATAATTCTTGCCAAGCTTGATGTACAAGAAAGTTTGTAATGATAACTTCCCACATACATCCCCGTTTAAGTCTCGCAGCATGTTGAACCACAGATCCAGTTCGACGTACACGTTCTAATGCCATAGCCAAATCTGTAGAAGTTTCTCCAATATCTTCTCCTTCAGCAATTGAAAGTGAAGTAATAGAACGTCCTGTTAAAGTTGATTCCATACTATCTAATGTACCACGACGATATATTTGATTTTCAAATGCGGTACCTTCCACTTGCATAATAGGATATGTTTGTACCATAAATACTGCACGATCCAACGGTTCAGAGACACTACCCTTAGTGCGAATACTACCACCTTTAGATCCAGCATCAGCGCTCGTTGATGATTGAAGTGAGACCAGTGTTTCGGATTGCAGAGAACCTCTTGGCAGTACAGTCGTGTGTGAACGTACACGACGTGAGGCGTCAGACATCTCCATTTCATCATGTTGAACCGGAAGTACAGGAGCTACAGCCGATGTTGAAGAGAGTCTATGAGAGAGATCACCTGGAAATTGAGGAAGCATATCGATACTCTGTCGTCTTCCTTCTTCCCGATCTTCTTCCTCTTGATGGTGTTCATTTGGCTGATCCTCTTCTAATGGATTTGAGTGCTTTATTTCCTCTACTTCTTGTGCAGTTCCATCCATGGTGTCTGTCACCTTCTCTAATAAGAATGCTCCACAGAGAGAAAATAATAAATAAAAACAAGAGAAGAAAAAGAAAAAAAAAAATGCATGGATCAATATCATGAAAGAAATATACATATATACAAATAGAGATATATTATACAAGAAAGAAAAAAATACATCTATACACCAGAGAAAAAATCATCAATGAAGAGAAACTTTTTTTCTACCACTCTTTTCTTTCTTTCCTTTTTTTTTTTTTAGAGATGCATTGAGAAATCATATGGATATCACGCTTGAAGGGCGTTATACTAACATATGTAAATATATATTACATATATTTCTTCCTGAAGTAGTATCCTTCTTCTTTTTTTTTCTGTTGATAATATTTCTTCCTTTCTTTTTTTTTTTTTCTTTCTTTTCCCCCCTTTTCTTTTCTCCTAGAAAAGTTCCTAGCATTTGTAGCGTCCATTCGCAATCATATAGCAGATATCCTGAGCCTTTTCCACACAATTGCAATAAAACCTATTCTGTAGTTTTGTGCATTATACATGTGAGTGTGAAGGTGGGGGGTGTTCGCACGCAGTAAGTAAATAAATAAAAGAAGTACTAACTCTACTAAATCACATCATCAAAGTCACCCCCGCTATTATCTTCATCCTCAGCAGCACGCATCAAACTGTCCATTTCCTCTCTGTCTACTTTACGGCGTTCCTCTTCAGCGTCGGGGTCAACAGCATAGTAGCGCATTGAACGTTTCGCTTCATCATGGGTAACATTAAGAAATTGAATACGACGCTGTAATGCCAAAAGTGGTTCACTGGTAGAATACACATCTACAGTTTCACTGCTTATAAGGTGTCGCTTTTCGTGATCAATTACAGCATCAATAACACCATCACGAATAGCTTTTGCAATAATATACTCTGCATCAGCAGGATTTTCCATAGATAACTTAAAACAAACATCTGGAATGCTAATACGACTATATGCCTGACAAATACGACGTAATCCAGTCTTAATAACATGTTGTCTCACTCGTAATATAAGAGAATATGTACGATCATGCTCAAATATACTCTTGTGTTGTTGTAAGATAGACATAAATCGACCCAATTGCCCAAATCGTACGCAAGATGCAAGTTGTAAATAAGGTGAGAGAGAATCTTTCATATCTTTTTGTAAAAACTCTGAACGGGGCGGAATTTCACCCAACAAAAGTTGAATTACAAGTGATAACTTTGTTGCCGCAACACGAAATCCAAATGCACGCTCTGGAGCCTTACGAAGTGCCTGTTGCAGACATTGATTGGCATCCACGTACTCCAGACGCAGTGCCCGTGTGAGACCAACGTAGTAGAAGTAACGTGCTGCCTGATTGTTCGATCGGTGTGGTAGACTGATCTCACATGTGGCGATGACACTTTCGGCAAGATCGTGTTGGTGACTGCGCATCAACAATGCGAGAATGTCGTTTAGAACAATTTCTTGTCCGAGTTCATCGTGCCGCACACACAACGCGCGGTATAATCGCATGAGTCGTGCGAGGAGTTCGTCATCGGGGCGGTTCTGCAGCCGCGGCGACGGCTCAGGGGCAGCAGGTACCACAAGTGGCATCTCAGCAGGTATGAATGTATATGTGTGTATGTGTTTGTTTGTGTAGGTGGGTTTGTAAACCTACAAAGAGATATAACTATAAGGTAAATAAATGTAGAGGCGATGAAAAAGAAGAAGAAAAAGAGAAAGAAGGAAAAACAAAATAAGAACAAGAAATTACTTCAACATTACAATCACTGATAATAATAACAAAAAGAGAAATAACACAAGAAATGATCCCAGATTGTAAGAGGATTAAAACAATTATTATTTTATTTTTTTTTTTTTTTTACAAGAATACACTTCATCACAGACATAATTTAATCGATGCATTTAAATCTCAGAATTCTTTATGTTTTTTTTTTTCTTTTTTTTTTTCCTTTTCCTTCTCAATCCCTCCATTCTTTGGTATAATAACAGTAATCGCTAGAGAGGACCTCCACGTGGTCAAAGCTCCTCAACAGAGAGTTTCCAACCTTTTCTTTTGCTTTTTGCTCCTGCGCTTCGTTACCTTATCTCTTGACCTTTTGTGGTCTCTGCAGTTGGTGATTACTTCCTCTCATTTTCTTTTTTTTTTCTTTCTTCTCAGACGCATTTCTTTTTTTTTTTTAAACAAAAAAACTCTTCTCACGTTAGCCGGGCGCATTCACACGTCGCTATGCTCTCAACCTAATTCAAACAAACATAACTTTGTCTCTCTCTTTCTCTCTCTTTCTCTCTCTCTCACATACGGCGGCGTTGGCGATGATGATATGGCTGTTGTTGTTGTCTTGGTGTGTGTGTGGTTGTGGATGTGGCCCGCTCCAACCACGCCTCTTCACGCTGCCGCTTCTTTGAAAGTCCACTACGATTGGATTCCAACAGTTCCGCGAAGTCTTCACCCTCCGCTGCGGCCACGCTGTTGTTCTTCTTTCCTCCCAGAGCCACGCTGTCATCATCCTCGCCCTCATCCTCCTCCTCATCTTCCTCGTCGAGATCATCATACGCCGCCTCATCACTGCTGCCCCACTCCAAGTCAGCATCTGTTCCTACGGCGTCAAAGTCATCCTTCTCCATATTATCATCACTTGCATTGTCTGCCTCACTGTCAGAACTAGGAACATCTTCATCCAATTCCACTGCCTCATTCGGTACATCAATCTTTGCATTCTTTTTGTTTTTATTCTTCTTGTTCTTCTTTTTATCATCCTCTTTGATCTCCTTCTCATCATTACCATTGCTGCTGCTTCCACCAGTTGTTGTGTTGACTGCCGCAAGGGCACCGGAAGGACCAAACAAAGAAGCATCAATGTCGGCCACTCGCAACGCAACATCCACTTCTCCACTTGTATCACCCCACGTACTGCGCACTTGTGAAAGTCCATCCACAAAACGTTGACGCTGCACGGCGTAACGGTGTAGAAAGAGTGCCGATACATCCACTTGTTGGGCACTCGCGTTAATAAAGTATGGATCAGAGGCACTGGGAAGATTTGGTGTACGAATTGTGCGGCGGAATACAGACATTCCCGTTTTCGCTTCTTTTTCCTCCTCCTTCGGTTGAGTCTTGGCATCAACAAACATCTGCAGAAAATTTGGCAGTGTGAGTTCATCAAGTGGGTGACTATCAAAAACAATGTCTTCATTAAACATTAAAACAAGAGCAAGTTTTACAACTGAAGGATGGGAATGCCGTGCAAGCAAACCTAATGTCCATATAGAATCATTTGTAGCCCGTGCAAATTGTGGTTCACGGTGTTTCACATCGTAGCGTTCTGTATCCATTGAGGTGGATGTTTTGCGAGGTCCTAAGATCTGATTACGAACACGTGGATGTGCTTGTAGAACTTCACCAACCAATAATAAAATAGCACATATAACAGATTCACTGAAATACAAAGATCTTTGTAATAAACGATGTACAAAGGCAGCTACACGTTCTTCATTCTTATCTAAACGTAGTGCTTTATGTAACATGGTGAAAAATCCAGTCATTTGGGTATTATGTGAAAGTTGTTTAGGTGAAATTAATAATAAATTGTAGAGTGCCCGATACCAACGGTTTTGAAATGCTTCAGTAGCTCCTTTACTGTGGGCAATAAGTTGTAATAAGGAAAGTGTAGCCACACGCTGGGTAAAATTTCCAGTATTAGCCAAAACAAAGAGAGCGTTTAAATGTTCTTCCAGAGGTGCAATATCTGTACCAGCATATGGAAAAGCACGACGAAGACCAACAAGAATAGCTGTTGTTACTGTAAGATCCACCGAAGAATTTACCACAAGTTGACGAAAGAGTGATAAATAAGTTTGAACACTTTTTAGTGCCAGTTTTCTTTCTTCCTTAGTATAAACAAATTGATTCATCACATTTGCTGCATATTTCATTGTACTTACTGGACAATTTTTCATAAAAGTTACCTTTTCCAACTCTACAAATAACATAGACTGATGTGTGGAAGATTCTGTAAGGAGTGCAAGAAGATGATGATAAGCCTTATGTGCCACCCCACTGCTTGGATCACCAAGTTTATCAACTATTAATGCCATTGCGACATGTCTTCCTTCTGCCACACTGCACATAAGTTTTCCAACTACTTCCAACCAGGCTTCACGTCTTTGTTGTAAGCGATCTTTAAGCATCGCTTCTGCGAGTGAGAGGAACTGTGCGTACGTACGCTTTAAATAATCTTCAATATACCAATAGAGAAGTACCGTTTGTCGACTCTTCGGATCCGTTGGAAGTGTTGCGAAGAACTGTGAAACAAATCGCTTAAGTGGACGACGTGGTAATAATTTAGGCCAAATAGCAGCGAGAGCTTTAAGTGCCGCCTCATAGTGATGTGTATCTGTACGTGCGGTATCAAAAAGTAAATTAAATCCTTCCAGAAAGAACATAAAATCTGTATCACTCAACTTCACAGCAGCAGAGGCAATCTTATCAGTTGTGGTACCACGTGAGAGGAACTGTGCGTTGTACCAGCGGCCCTTATCGGCTTGACTCTGTGCGGTCTCGGCGTCTAAGAGTTCCTGCGCCTCGCGGTACATCGCGTCCATCTCCTCCTTCTGCACATTACTGTTCGCCACCTCCTTGAGACTGCAGGCACGCAGCGGCAGCTGCCGGTCGTACCAGCGCTTGTTGAGATCCAACACGGATTCCACCGCTGCAGTCATGTTTGGCAGTTTCCCTTTTTTTTTTTTCTCTTCTTTTCAGTTGAAGTGTTGTCGGTGTGTATCTTTCTTTCTTTTTTTTCTTCTTCTTGTTTACTCGTTTATGTGCTTCTTTTCTTTTTTTTTTTTTTTCTTCTTGGTTCCCCTCTGTTCTTTTTTTTTTTATATATATATTCCTCTTCTTATTCGTTTATCTACCCGCACTGTAAAGTAAGTAGGTGGGTAGGTGGGTGGGTGTTCTTGCGGTATATAAAGAAATCAGAATGTAACGAAAAAGTGAATAGTGAAATGGTAAAAAAAAAAAAGAAAAGAAAGAAAAATAGTAGCAATATAAATATACACACAAAGAGAAATATTATATACACATATAGCTGTATTGACTACCATGTTATGTATAACCCTATTTCCTTTTTTTTTTTCTTCATTGCTTTTCCTTCTGTTGATACCTTCTGTTTCAATGGTATTCTCTCATCTTTGCTCCTCATGTTATCGAAGAAGAGATAATGCAATTAAAAAAAGAGGAGATGAAAGACAATGATGTTTGTCAACACACAAAAGAGTGAGAGAAAAAAAAAAAAAAGGAGAACGTGGAGAATCATTACTGTGATGAAATGATACGAATCAGACACAGTAAAACTAAATAGGAAAGAACAACAACAACAACGACAACAACCACCACCACCACCAAAAAAAAAAGAACAAAAATAAAAGGTCGCTACTTCATGGATGCCTTTAATGCCGCTAATCGCGCATCCAATTCCTTATCATCTTCTTCTTCTCCTTGTTGTTGTTGATATGATGGAAGTGATGCGTCTGTGACTCCTACTTTACTCTTAAACTCGAGTCCCACTTCATCCATCACCTTTTGAATTTCAAGTTCAGTTTCATCCTCTTCTTCTCCCTCGTCATCCATAACATCATCAATAGCGTCATTCATCATTTCTTCTTTCATTCCCATCATCTCATTCTGTTTTTCAAATTCCCGCATTACACGTTGCATTTCAGGGATATTCATTTTGTTATTCATACTACGCATCGCCTTTGCCACACCTTTCATCGCAGTTGCCATTTGTCCAGTAGATTGCATGGTCTGAATACGCAGCGCTACACCTTGAATCTGTGTACGCATGCGATACATCTTCTGTTGGTATTTACGTGTACGTACGAGATCACGAGCCATGATGCGAACAGAATCAATTTGGTCTTGTTTAGCCATGCGCTTCATATCCATCACAATTTTACGTTCTTGTGTTTGCAGCTTATTGCGCTCACGATCAATTTCGCGAATGGTTCGATCAAGACCGCGTTTATATTTTCGCATCGCCTCCTGCGGCGTCTCGCGGTGAAAGAGATTCGTAATGAAAGACATTAATGAAAAGCTAACGTACACGGTATGGGTTCTCCCCTCTTCGTTTCTTTTTTTTTTTTTCTTCTTCTTCTTCTTCTTTGGCTTATTCTGCCTCTATGACTATAAATATTCAATAGTAATAATAGTAATAATAATAGTGAAGAATAGGTATTAAAACCACCTCACGTGTCCTCAAATGATGTGAGAAATAGAAAACAACAATAAAGAAAGGAAAAAAAAACCACAAAATTAGAGTTTATCGGTATTAGTGAACATAGAATAGATACATGTAAAAATAAAAAAAAAAAACAAATAAAGAAATACAAGGAATGAAACAACTCCCCCACTCTTGCCTTTCTTTTTTTTTTTTTTTTGAGGGGTTCTGACTTACCGAAATGTATTTCGTCCCCTCTCTTTCTCCTTCTCTCTTTTCCATTTAATCGAAATTGATGATGATGATGATATTGTTATTGTTGTTGTTACTGTTACTGTTACTCTTTGTTCGATTCGTCAACTACGGTAGAAGATTAGCGATACGTCGGGCACAAACAACAACAGGCATTGGTACAGTACTTGCAAATCCACGCATATACGGTACAGAGTGACGTGATGTCGAATAAAATGGTGCCTGTCCTCGCCCGACTGTAATAATTGTAATAACACGATCCGCATCTACCTTTTCTTCTTCCTTTTTCTCTTCTTCTTGTTCTTTCTGTGATTGTATCTGTGATGGTTGTTTTTTCTTCCACCAATCTTTTGGCATAGATGTTGGTCGATTTCCCATGAGTGCCCGCATCTCTGTGAGTTTCACGTTATCCTTCACCATTGCTGGGCAAAATCCCGTTAATCGCAACTCCCGTAATGCCTCTCTGGTGTGTCCAATCACCTTTCCATCGTCGGTAACACCAATCAACACTACACCGCCCAGTGTGGAGGCCATCGCCGCAATGGTGTTGCGAATACGTTCCAAGTTCATAAGTCCCATTCGTGCTTTCCGCTGCGATTCCATACTTCCATTTATATCTCCCTTGTGAAGAGTATCATCCGTCTCTTCTTCCCATTTGTTAATCTTTGCCTTAAACTCCACACATGTGCCTTCTACGAGCATTGGGATTTCTTGTGGAGAGGACACCGTCACCGGCGGCCGTCCGTCCTTACCACGTGCCTTCTTCACATGTACAGATACGGTATCGGTTAACATAGTGAACAGACGATCCTCCGCAGTCATGCTACTACTACTACTACTACCACCACCACCATTACCACTAACTCCTCCACCTCCTCCTGTTGATGATGATGTCAAGTATTTATTATAACCACGAAGAAAACGTGCACAGCTTTCTCGCACAATATATAAAATATCTGTAAATGTGGTAAGAGATTCAGTCTTATTTTGTTCAATAACAGATTCTGACACGTTATTAAGGACGTTAAGAACAGTAGCATCTTCAAAAGTAAGAGAAAGATGCTCAGGTTTCACTGTAGCAGCTCCATACCGCTTGCAATATACCTTGTGTGTACGAAGTGTTACTTGTACACGTTGATTAGATTGAAGATATCGCAATGAATCTACTTCGTGTGCTGTTAATTCCTTTTCATTAAGGAATTCTTCGGTATGATCATCTAAAGAATCACTTCTTATACGTTTTCGTGTAGTTTCTGCAGCAGATGCCAATACAGATGGTATCCCTACTCGACTAACAAAAACCCATTTTGGTTTTGTCTGTTCATCCTGTATATATGGAACGGCAATGTATGCGTACTGTGATGAAAGTGCAACAACACGACCAATGATTTCCATCCCGTGTACATCCACATGCAGAATACGTTTCTTTTCCTGATGTATAGCCATATCAATAACATTCTTTTCTTTCTTATAGTTATTCTTGACCTTGTTGTTATTGTTGTTATTGTTCTCACCTTTATGCTGCTCACGCCCCTTTGAAGGTATTCTCTCTACCAGATGCCAACTACTCTCGTTAAACACACGTGCGGTTAACCACGCGGCTTTTTTCCATCGCCGCCGTTTTTGTGTGGTCTCGTCCTCATTTCTCTCCTCCTCCTCCCCTTCTTCCTCTTCCACTACTTTTAACGTATTTGATGAGATCTTTCCATCCCCTTCCACACCGTGTGGAGATGAGAGGTCAGGACAAAACCGTATTGTTGGTGTTATGTGCACTCGTGCCATTCGCACGTGATCCTCCATCACTAATAACTCTGGTGGTGTTTGTGTGTACTGCAGTGGGTCGAGTGGTGGGTACACACGCGCTACGCTGCGATCTAAACAAAGAAGGAACTCATCCCGTTCGCGGCGACTCCACGTCTTCTCCACCGCAACTGGACCAGACAAGACCCGCAGTTGGATTACTGAAGTGTCAGAGCCATCACAGGTATTTGCCGCATTGGCAATGAGAGTGGCAAGAGTCAATTCTGTTGATATTGTGTGAAGATCATGAATATCGCCGTGGACCATTGTGAACCACAGAAATGATAATGATATTGCCGCCTTTGTCCTTTTTTTTTTTCCTTTTTCTTCACACAATTAAGCCTAACTTGTCTCCCCTCCCCACTTGTAAAAGAAATATCACAAAAAAATATAAAAGGAAAAAAAAAGAGAGTGAACATAATTTGGAAGGTTTTTAATAATAATTAAATATAATGATAATAGTAATATCACCAAGAGAACACCTATCTTCTCTGGTAATGATATAAAAATCCAACCAAGGTTTTTTTTTTTTTCTTCTTCACAATAGTTAAACATATAGTAACAAAAAGAAACACATGAGGGGAATGGGTATTCGTTTTTCATTTGTTTATCGTTTCCGTTATTTTGAGTGAGAAAACATATGCGGAGAAAGTACTGGGTTGTAGATTTGCAAACACAAAGAGAAACGAATAAAAATAAATAATAAAAAAACGCATATCACAGAGGGAAAAAAAAAGATATAAATGCAGCCCTTAAAAAAGCTGACAATCACCCGAGTGAATTTTATAAGAGTTGAAGAATAATACCTTAGTCGATACTTCCTCAAGAAAACAAACCCAACTAACATATTACAATACATATATAAATATATAAATATATATTAATAAATATATATATAAATTCATATATATATATATATTTTTTTTTCTTCTGTATGGCATCGTAAGTACATCAGTTAGATATTCTGCATGTATGTTGTATATGAGTGTACATATGCATAGTGTTCGAATTCAATACTTCTTTTTTTTTTTTTTATTCTTTCTATTGTTGTTGTTGTTGTCGTCGTTTCTGCTACACTCAATGTATGGTGCACACCACCTCTTTTAAACTCACCTTGCAGTGTCAATATCAACATTTACTGGAATCTCTACAATACAAACTGTCAACTCCTTTCCCCACCCCCCAGAGATAAATATATAGGAATAAAACATCAATATCACAAGAGAAGCGTCATAAAAGTAAGGGAAAGGAAGATAAATAGATAGATAGATAGACGGATATAGATAGATATAAGAGAGATAGAAGTAAAGATACATATGACGCAAATAAAAGAGAGTGATGGATGTGCAAAAACAATAAAAAAAAAAAAGAAACGAAACCAACAAAGTACAACAACAATAATAGTGGTAATAATAATAATAATAATACTAACAGAAGGATATAAAAAAAATGATGTTCCTCGTTATGTGTGTGTGTGTTTTTTTTTTTTTTTTTACACAAGTAGTGATGGTGTACTTCTCTACTTTCTCACACGAAATCTGCAGAGAAGGCGTCTTTTGTCTCTAGATACCGTGCTAAACGGCTCTTTGCGTACTCAAGGAAGTTCATATCCAATGTTGAAACCGCCTCTTGCAGTAATGCCCAAATACTCCAACTGAGGTGAGAGGCCAATGTCAGTACTTTCACAAGTCGTACCCAATGCTGAATAATGTTTCTTTCCTCCTCATTTTCCTCTTCTTCTTCTTCTTCTTCTTTCTGTATGTTTTTCGGTATTTCCGCTTCATTCGCATTTTTTCCTTCGACTCCATTGGTGCATGTACTGCAAAGAAAAAAACGATCTTGTCCTGGTAAGATATCCTCTAATCCTCTACATTCGGCTTCACTCTGGTGGCGGTGCAGTTCCTCTCGCATGGCTTGACGGTATACCGCAATAAACCGTTCCATCATCTTATCGGAAGGAAAGTAACGTGCATAGTCACAATCCAGCCCTGTGTATTCGTTAAAATGATTCGCAATGTCAAAGAGAAAATAATTCCGTTTCACATAATCAAAATCAATGATCTTCAGTTTTCCATTCTCTGTATGCCGCATAATATTTGCACTAAGAAGATCATTATGACAGACACTCTCCCCAAGACTTGGTTTCAATCGCTGCAGCAACGCACACATCCACGGTGCCTGCTGCAATAACTGTGCTGCCACCATCGCATACTCCTCACGCTTCTCCGGCGAGACTTTACTCACAATCGCCTCCGACATCATCATCTCCACCCACTTTGTCAAGGCGTGCATGGTGTAGTTCGCCTCTCGATCAAATCGACAGGCATCAAACACACTTGAACTACTATCATTACCACTACCACTACCACCAAGAGCGGGTCCGACGGAATCCCAATACATCCGCTCCTCTCTTGTGAGTAGTGGCCGGTGGTGATCACTCCTAGACTCCAGTGTGGCCCGCACCTGAAAAGAGGCGAGTTCACACGCAATGGAACGAAACTCCTCTGACATTTCTCTATACGGCAGCGCCTGATATTGGTTTAGAAATTTATAAATGAGGAAATTCGTTCCACGCACATAAGTAGGAATAAAGATAGATTGGTAAAATAACTCACTCTCACGCGATATCACACGATCGGTCTCTTTACCAAATACACGGAAAACAACAGAGCGTAGAGGATAAGATGGGTGATATATACGGAATAATTCATTTGTAATTCCACCGGAAAGACGCTCTACACAAAGATTATCCATTCTCACTCCATTTCTCTCCTCTGTACAATGTCCATTACCATTCATTACATGTACATGATGGGATTCCTGTTGCTGCGGGTGTGGCTCCTTATTTCCATTATGCCTGTTTTCCTTATCGGGAAAGATTAAATGCGAACAGTACTGTAGTACTACTTCCACCAATGCAGCTCGTCGCAGTTCGGGTTCTTCAGGAATTACACGCTGCGCTAACACGACTTTTCTTCCTGTCATGCTATTACCCAAATATGAACAAGAATAATAAATGAATAATTAAAAACCGCAGAGCGGGAACAAACTACTAAATATAATCCTCACCTTTTTTTTTTTCTTTTGTTTACTTCTTTTGGTTAATATTATAGAAACAAGAAAAAAAAAGTAGCAAAGAAAAACATGTACAATCATACAAAAAAGAACAAAAACGGAATTAAAAGAAAAAAAAAAACGATATAACCAAAGAAACACAAATAAATATAAATAATATATATATATATGTCGCACATTTAACGCAAGAAAATAGCAAACTGAGAGGATAAAATAAAAATAAAATAAAAAATGAATATTAGATCTGCACACGTTGTTATACACACCTCACTCCACGCTACAGTCATTGCCTAGTGTCATTCACAACAACCACAGCTCACGATAATTAAAATGTCACGATATGTACGTACATCGTTGGCACAGATGCACACATTAATAAATTACAACACACATCACACGTTGAATGTGTAGAAGACAGAAAAAAATAAAGAAAAGAACTGCAGTAAGAAGAAAAAAAATAAAATAAAATAGATAAATAGAAAGAAGAAATGTAGGTAGATAAATGAAATAAGAGTAGATAAGAGATCCTAAACGATAATTATAGTTTATCTACTCTATATTCTGTGAAGCTGATGTAACTGTTGTGCTCCATATTCTAATGCTGCGGCATCATTTGTTTTCTTCATGATTTGCTGAATGAGTGAAATATCTTTTTCTCGAAATGCCTCATCCATCGCCATGCAGGGTTGTCCGAGTTTTACAAACCACTCCACTCGTTTAGTCGTCTCATCAAGGCGAGAAACAAACCGCAAGGCAACTTCAATTTGTGAATGAAGTGCAAACTGCTCAAGAAACGGTAAATAACCAATAGAGGGTTTTCCACCAAAGCGACCACCAGATACTCCAGCCAGTTTCTCTACCTCTGTCCATTTCCCAACTTCACATAAAGCCAATAATTTCGTATAAATATATTTTTTATCACCTACATGATATTTAGATCGCATCTCCTCCGCCCGTTTTTCATCTTCGTGCAAAATACATAAATAAATTGTTCGTGTAATGCTGCTATTAAGAAAACGAGTATCATTGTATTTAACAGCTAATCGGTTTTGTATTTCAACAAGTTCACAATGAATTGAAAGCCAACGATATTCTCCCTCTGATGTATCAACAGAGAAAGAGGGAAAACATAATGGATAATTCGTTCCAGTAGAAACAGTAGCTGTAAATTTCTCATTGGGAGTTGGACGCATTTTCTTACACTTTCCAAGCATAGTTAGAGTCTTATCCAGTGAAAAAGATAATGATTTAGGTAGAAAAATAGTATCATCAAAGGGTTCCAAAGTCCTATTATCTATGGTCTTATCATCCTCTGATATATCTATCTTCTCGTTAGAAATATTTGGGGTTTTTCTTTCCATATACAGTAAGGAATCTTTAAGTTTCCTCCACTTTAAATCCACAGCACTCTCTTCAAGAGCACAGATAATTCCATAACGTGCGTAGTATAAAGCTAATGTGGCATCACCAATTTGCATACACATCTCTTCAGCTAAAACTCTCCATTTCGGAAATAAATGTGCCCCTAATAATAACCAAACTACAGTTGTTGGATATCCTTGAAGGACTGTAAACAATTTCTTTCGATCCTCAATTGTTGCAATTATCTTTGTAAGAGCCAAGTGAAGTAAATCGGCATCATTACCAAGAGCAGCCCAATGTAGTGCAAGCTCCCATTGTCCTACAAGGAGGAAAACAGTAACTTTAGTGTGTACACGAAAATCTTCGTTAAGAAGTTTAATGGCCAATTTATCTCGACCAATACGGAATGCAGTCAATGCACTTTCCATATAACTAGATCCAGAATGATGCTGAAAAGCTTCACGAATATGTGTATATACCGTAATATCATCAAGAGAAACATCTCGTACCTTTTGACAGGACCATTGTGAAAGTAATGACAATGGTTTCATATTAAGTGCATTTGTGATATCAAGGGCTAATTGAAAGCAACCTTTATTAGATAAACGATCTACTAATACTTTAGCTTCAGAAGGTGCAAGTGCACGCATTTGATCTGATCCGGCAAGTGTACAGTATTGACGAAAAGAAAGTGGCATACGACCTCCTGGGTAACTTCGTATAGCATGTAAAACACGCAGTCGACGTACAACTTCTACAAAGGTATCAGAATCATATTGTCGATTAACTTCATTTCCAAAAGAAGCTCCAGAAAGAAGAAGATGTTGTTGATCAGGAGAGAACTCATGTGCGGCAGCATCAATAATTTCATCTAGAACTTGTGCAAATACGGTATTTCCCCATTTTGATAACAATTCCCGCACCTTTAATAAACGATTTGAAGTATCAGAGTAGTAAGCTGCAAGTAACTCTGCAGATGGACTTAATGGTTTAATACGAGAAAGACTTACAAGGCTTTGAGGAACTTCTTCAAGAAAATAACACGCCTTCTCTGAAATAAGACGAACACCATCTATTTCTGAAACTGTAGCTATACGACCACTTGTTCCAGATTTTTCCCAGTCTAGCCTTTCACATTGTATAGATGTATTAGGTATAATAGGAATTAGGAGTGTAAACATTGAAGTCTCATTATGAAAAAATAATTCTTTATGAAAATCTGAAACGTTAAAATGGATCATAATAAAAGAGTTTCCGCACCATTCTAACTTTTCTGGTTTTCTGGCATATTGACCCATCTGAAAAGAAAAATCAATTGAATTTAAATTGCTTGATAATATATAAAGTACAGCTTTATCTGTAAATAGTGCAACTTTTGATCCTGTGTGATTAACCTTCATAGACAATACAGTAGAACCAGGAATATGTTTTTGTACCTTTTCATTAAAGTTAATACCTGAAGTGAAAACGTGCAGAGTACTTTGTATTTTATCATTAAAGGATGATGTTGTGATAATATACAAAACTATATCACCGTCATCATTCCACTCTGGTGGAATAAAATCCATAATTGTAGGAATACCTGTTAATGTGAGTCGTACGGGATCCAACACCTTAGGACCACGTCGTTCCTCATATAATAATCCACATATCCAACCTTCACTATCTAATGAAAAAATACCTTCAGTCGTCATACATGAAAGAATAATTATTCTTTTTGAATATAAACTCTTTGATATGGATAATTCATTATCTTTCAAACGAATTGTACGTGATAACGAAAGGGAATATGGATAAAGAGAACAAGCTGTATTACGCTGATTTGTAGAAAAATCCGTGGTATAACTGCTTTCAAAGAAGATACTAATATTTTGATCGGTTAGAATAACAAGACCTTCTTCCTTAGTCCATCCCATGTTAATAGGTCTACCAACATCAGATGGAATAGATACAGATGTTTGAAATTCCCCCGCACTTGAATACACACGCACATCAATAACTTCCGTTTGCTGCTCTAATGCATCTGTGAATATAATAGCAACAGATCCACCAAATGGTGCCATACACACAAAAGCACAAGCCGCAAGAGAAAAAGAAGAAGACTCACTCATATGTGAAGAGCCAACTTCATTCCAATACATGTGATCATAGAGTGTTAGTTTTCTGCAGTACAGTTCAGATGTGAAGGGAAACCATTCGCCCTGTCGCTCCACCATTCCACATACGTACACGTGCAGTTCCTAGTAGAATACTTTCTCTTTTATCCTGTTTTTTCTTTTCTGTTTTCTTTTTTTTTTTATGTTTCTTCTTATTAGGTAAGAAGGAAAGAAAGAAAGAAAGAAAGAGAGAAAAAAAAAAAAATACAAGTACTACAGGAAGAAATTAACTGAATTCAATGAAAAGGGCATAAGCAGTACATCAAGACGGAACACATGGAAAAAATCAAATGCAAAGAAGAAAAAAACAAGATAAAAAAAAAACCGGAAGAAAAAAAGAGAGAGAGAAAAAAAAAAAAAGGAAACAGAAAAAAAAAAAAAAGAAGAGAGAAAGGGTGCAGAGGACAACGAACAATAGAACTCAGATAGAAATCCAATAATATGTCTAAAGCAGCAAGGGAGTTATATAGTACTCGAGTCTATTATTTTATTCTTGTAGACTCACACAAAAGCACCATACGTATATCAGTTCGTGGGTTACCAAGTTATATTAATTTCTCCACAGAGAGTCATATTCATATGAGAGCACACACACACACACAAAACAAAAAAAAAAAAAACATATTAACAACGCAGGAATATACCTGCTCTCCCTTTCCCTCTATTTCTCTCTCTCTCCATCTTCATCTTTTTCTCCTTTTTCTTTTTTTTTTTTTTCTTTCTCTCAAGAGCAATATAAATAACAGATGGAGCTGCTGCATACATAAAGGTATTGCTACAGATATTACATCAATGCATATTCAAATTCTGCGACAATCAGTAATAAAAAAAAAGGACAGCAACACGCGAGTATATCATTAACATTCAGCATCCACCTCAATTCCAAAGAAAAACATCACATACATGCAAAGGATTGGTAAAGCAAAGATGTATATATAAGAAAATAAAAAAAGTATTTATTACCATAAAAATGAAGTTTTACTTCTCCACTATAATGCAAAAAGTGAAAAATGAGAAAAAAAGAAATGTAAAGAAAGCATATCTAAAGTCAATTCATCTTTAAAACTACCTTTCATCTTTTCTTCATTATTTTTTTTTTTTTTCCTTTCTTCTTCTTCATTTTATCCTTTGACGGAACAAGGCACATTTCAATCGGGTTCCAATCCACTAAAACTAAAACCTGCAAATTGTTAAGAGTGCGAATAAAACATGTATTGTATAATATATATATAGTTAGAAACAAAAAAAAAAAACAGTAGGAGACATCGTTTACATTAAAATACTTGTCAAACATCGATATTTTTCTCACACGAAAAAAAAAACAGGTACATGGAAATAGAGACAACGCGTCGAACAGTATCCCAAAAAGCAAGCTCAAGGAACTTAAGTTGATGTTCAATTCTCTTGACAATTTGGACGTTGGTGCAAGAAAAAGAAAAAAAAAACAATAGCAATAATAATAATAATAATAATAATAATAATAATAATAATAATAATAATAATAATAATAATAATAATAAAAGTGGTTAAGCATTGGAGAATTCCTCCATAGCTCGACTCACTACAGAGCAAACATCATTTACAAAAGATAAACACATCCAAAGAAGCAAGCAAGCCAGTGGAGCCACTGACTATGAAAGAAGTCGACCATTAATCCCTTTAGAACGTGAAAGCAGTGAAAATAATATAAAAGAACCATTGAAACCATTCCAGTACATCAAGCAAAAAAAAAAAGAAAAAAAAAAGAAAAAAAAATCCTTGTTTCCATAATCAAAACAATGACTATAAGGCAAATAAAAGATAAAACAAAAAGACATTAACGCAAAAAAAAAAGAAATTTCCAGAACATAATCTCCCAGTACATTAAAAAACATTTTCAAAAAAAAAACATTTTTTTTCCTTCTTTTTCCTCTTTGGCCGGGGGAAAGGGAAAGAAAAACAAAAGAAAAGGGAGGGGAAAGGAGAATAAATTGAAAACCCGTGCTAGAGTTGCGCACAGGTGTAGTTAATAACACATCCATCTGTACGGCATCACACTGGTGACACTCTACAACATAAACGTGCGACAGTACTTCTCTGTGCCTTATCTCTTCGCCATGGACCCAAATCCGCGACATTAACGGAGCCTGACACGCGTGCCACCTTTACAGACAGCGGCTCTAGTGCCGTGCATCCATTGAGCATACAGCACACTGCTTCATTGCGTTTTCTCTCTTCCTTTACAGCTTCTTCTGTGTATGAAATAAGTGAAAGTCGTCGCGGCGGTAGAGGTTTCTTGATGATGCGTTCATGCGAGACCAGCATGGGCATTTCTGGTATTATATCCTGATCAGCTGGGATGAGGGGAGTAACATCCGCGATGGAGGAATCATACAAGGTCCCAAGTGCAGCACGGGATACGGCGGCAGGGGCGTCACCAAGATCAAAGTTCACAATGCGAGTACTACGAACACTTTTCGCAAAGGCGCGAGGGGCCAAACTGTGGCTTTTTATGCAAGACCTAGAAGCGTTCATGCGTGATTTTAAAGGAGCGGAGCGACTTAGATTAAGCAAATCATCCACATCATCACATGGTAGAACCCAGCCTTCATCAGGTAAACGATCGATACTCGCACCCAATACGGAATTTAAAAGTGCAGAAACTCCACCACGTAACATTATGCTACGCGCGAAGGATGCGCCCTGATCTTTACGAATAGTATTTCTTCTTCTTAATCTCAATACAACCAAGTAACGACGTCCTACTCGTTGAACAAGTTCGACAGCACGAAGAAGTCGTGCCCGCTCACGATCCCCCCTAGAACGCCACCAACGACTGAGAACAATAGCAGCACGACGTCTAACCCGTAGGGAAAGAAACTGTGCTGGTATTCGGTAGGAATCTTCCTTAGGTGCTTGAGGACGTCGAGGTCTGGGCGGTGGCTGAGCGTGCCACTCATCCATTGCCATCAGTAAGGATGAAGACGATCGACGAGACATCAAAGAAACCAGTCCTGTGGTACTCTCAGACCTGTTTGGAGAATCTTCCATAGATATTGATGGTTGTTGTACAGATGGATGTGGAGATATTTGGTTTCTTTCGCCTTTAGATTCTTTCTTAGTGCTATTCTGTTCATTGACGTCATTGGAACCACCAATATTACCTTTGTTCCTCTTGATGTTGTTAATATTGATATTGTTATCGTTGATAGTATTTCTGTTATTACTATCCCCCACCTTTTCTAACCTTGAGGTGTTAGATTCTCGAATACTACAGCCAGGACCCAACGGAAAGATTCTTCTTGTAGGTTCCAATATGGGTTTATCATTCCTATTATAAACGTTGCGCGGGTTATCACGGACATTCGTAGTTATCACTGGTGCTGGACTCTTTGTTTCTACCCTACGGTGTATAGAAGGGGTAGAAATCACTGACTTCTTTAGTATACTACGAGCCTGAAGAGGAATGCGAGTGCCCCCAGCCTCCAAGGAAAGATTTTGAGTTGCACTCATTACGAGAAGGTCCACCGGCTGCACTACAACTATGTAAGAAAAAAAATAAAAATAAAAAAAATAAATAAAGAAGCAACGGAAAAAAAAAAAAAGAAAATGAGCAGAAGAATTTAAAACATCATATCCTTTAATCAAAAAAATAGACAACCACCTATGTCCTTTGTTTACCATACTCACCTCAAAAAGAAGCATACATACACATACAGCTTTAAGCAACAAATGTATTCCTCTTCTATTTCTATGAGAGTGATAATACACCATGGCAATTCTTTGTTGGTGTCATTTCTTTTTTTTTTTTTTTCTCGAGGCAGTAAAGGAGAAAAGGGTTCGTGGTTTTTTTTTTTTTTTTGTTTTCTTTCTCCTAAGGACCTCAAATCTCCTTTACCATCTCATCAAGCACTAGTCTAACGAGGTTACGAATGATCAAACCAACATCACTGTAATTTGCGAGATGTGTCAATACTTGATGTTTTAAACGAGATGGTTTTACACCGTTACACAACTCACGGATTTTACGATACTCCTCTGGGTTATTATCCTTTAAGAATGAAATGACATAAATGTCCTGCGGTTTCACCTGAAAAAGATCCTGTAGAGTACGGTACAACGCATCCCGGTGCGATGCGTTATGTAGAATAGCTATTGGTTTTACTGAGAGTTGACACCGGTCCAGCAACGCCGCACTGTCACGCTGCAGATGTTCCACTAAAGCATCTGCGGCTCCTCCACACTCTGGATCATCGTACGTAAGAAGAACTACCAGAACGCGTAAAATCACAGTCATAACAGGATATGTCTACCGCAATAACTCCTTCCTCTTTTCTCTTCTCAAACCTTCCCTTCAGTCTGAACTAAACGATAGAAAAAAGGAGGAAAAATACACAAAGAAAAACAAAGACAGACATATATATATATATATATATTTTTTTTAATTAAGGTGCGAAACAAGAATTGAAACACAGGGATCAATTACACTCCATTGTGGGATAAAAGTACAAAATACGTAAATAAATCAAGTAAAAAGAACAAAAAAACATCAAAACCGGAGCACCTGATCATACAACTTAGAAGAGTCCACCCATGCCGAAGTCATCATCGGACTCCTCCTCTTCAGGCTCAGCAGCGGCGGCAGCAGCAGCGGGAGCAGCGGCAGCAGCAGATTCCCCAGCAGCAGCAGCACCACCACCAAGGTTGCCCTCCAGAGCAGCCTTGCGCAGATTCTTGCCGTCATACTCGTCGAACTCGTACTTCGTGGCCACAGAAGCGCCGAGGAGCGTCTTGAATGCGTCCACAAGCATGTGTGGCAGCGTGGTAGCTGTCGGGATGCCTGCGCCGAGTGACATGGCAGCAACGTTGCTGATGCCCTCCATCAAGTACTTCTCCACCACAGAGTCTGTGACAGAGAGATCCTCGCGAAGGAACAGCACACCGCGGTCCCACACAGACTGTACCTCAATCTGGTAGTAGAACGGGGAAATGTCAAGCTTCTGCAGCAGTGTGGCCGTCGAGTTGTCAACCCTGTCACCAGTGCTCAACACCTTCTTGTCGCTCACAATTTCCACAGTACCCTTGGAAATCTTTGTGGCAATGTTCAAAGCTTGGAAGAAGGAGGTTGCCTTGGGCTCCATACCGGTGTTTCCAGCAGGAACGATGACATCGCATGGGGCGATGGCACCAACACGGGCAGGGGCCTGCACACGGTGCTTGTCGAGCACGTCCGTAATCTGTGAGATCTCCTCGTTTGTGAAAATCAAACAGGTGTTACCGCAGAGCAGGTTCAGCTCGTCGCACTTCTTCTGGAAGAGCTTGTCAGTCTCTGTCGCATTCTTGCCGTCGGCGCGGTTGCTTACGATCTTCTTCTGGAGAGTCTTCTTGCCCATCACAAGCTCGCCCTTGCCGCGGATGTCACGGCGCACATCGTGCACCTGCTGTGAGCGGACGTTGTCCATCAAACAGAAGAGCACACGGCTGTACTTGGTGAGGCAACCATTGAGACGGTCCTCGTAGTCCCGCTTCGCCTGGGAGATAGAGGGCATGGTAAAAAGTACTTACGACCCGGTTTCTAAGGGTGCAGATTGATGTTCGTAGAGTGGTAGACATAGAGGAAAGAAAAGGCATTAAGTAAATATATAACAACAATCAGAAGAAAAAATATACGTCTTGCAACAGATAAAGACACTTACAGTGTAAGAAAAAGCTGCCTGAAAATAATCAGAAAATAAAGAAATAAAAATTGAAAAAGAAAAACGAAAAAAATTTCGAAATATCGGGACCTCTGTCAAATAACTTAGAAGAGTCCACCCATGCCGAAGTCATCATCGGACTCCTCCTCTTCAGGCTCAGCAGCGGCGGCAGCAGCAGCGGGAGCAGCGGCAGCAGCAGATTCCCCAGCAGCAGCAGCACCACCACCAAGGTTGCCCTCCAGAGCAGCCTTGCGCAGATTCTTGCCGTCATACTCGTCGAACTCGTAGTTCGTGGCCACAGAAGCGCCGAGGAGCGTCTTGAATGCGTCCACAAGCATGTGTGGCAGCGTGGTAGCTGTCGGGATGCCTGCGCCGAGTGACATGGCAGCAACGTTGCTGATGCCCTCCATCAAGTACTTCTCCACCACAGAGTCTGTGACAGAGAGATCCTCGCGAAGGAACAGCACACCGCGGTCCCACACAGACTGTACCTCAATCTGGTAGTAGAACGGGGAAATGTCAAGCTTCTGCAGCAGTGTGGCCGTCGAGTTGTCAACCCTGTCACCAGTGCTCAACACCTTCTTGTCGCTCACAATTTCCACAGTACCCTTGGAAATCTTTGTGGCAATGTTCAAAGCTTGGAAGAAGGAGGTTGCCTTGGGCTCCATACCGGTGTTTCCAGCAGGAACGATGACATCGCATGGGGCGATGGCACCAACACGGGCAGGGGCCTGCACACGGTGCTTGTCGAGCACGTCCGTAATCTGTGAGATCTCCTCGTTTGTGAAAATCAAACAGGTGTTACCGCAGAGCAGGTTCAGCTCGTCGCACTTCTTCTGGAAGAGCTTGTCAGTCTCTGTCGCATTCTTGCCGTCGGCGCGGTTGCTTACGATCTTCTTCTGGAGAGTCTTCTTGCCCATCACAAGCTCGCCCTTGCCGCGGATGTCACGGCGCACATCGTGCACCTGCTGTGAGCGGACGTTGTCCATCAAACAGAAGAGCACACGGCTGTACTTGGTGAGGCAACCATTGAGACGGTCCTCGTAGTCCCGCTTCGCCTGGGAGATAGAGGGCATGGTAAAAAGTACTTAAGGCCCGGTTTCTAAGGGTGTAAATTGATGTTCGTAGAGTGGTAGACATAGAGAAAAGTAAAGGTATTAAGTAAGTAAACAAAAGGAGGAAGAAAGAAAAAAAAAAATAGTAATAATAGTAATAATGAAAAAATCAACGTCCAATTACAAGTACAAAGATAAAGTGAAATAGAAATAAAAAGCATGTATGTAGAGGTTAGAGGAAAGAATGTGAATCCCGTTGATCACCACAAGTCACACTGTTTGCGTCTCAAAATAGTCACTTCATACCACTCTACCAACTTTCTACAAAAAAAAAAAAACGTGCAATAGCAAAAAAAAAAAAAGAAAATAGGGAAGTTGAAAAAAAAGAGGACCTCAGATCATCAAGAATCTTTGATATTCCTGAGAACGTGTATGACCTCATTTATTTGAACCACCCTAGCAGACTGAAGCCACCATGTTTTTCATGTCTCATATGTCTACCGGTAGAGCTCTGAACAATTCGTCTTTCGTTCTTTTTGCACGATTTCTTTCCTCCGATAACACTGTCTGAACCGTAGCTCTCCCACTCAATGGGGGCAGCAAGAGGATGCACAGTCGAAGATTGTATCGAACTTAAACTATTTGAAAAACGTTCTTCATTGCTCTCAATTCCCTGCTGAGGCAGCGGCAGCGCCAGGCTTTGCGGCACAGCCTGAGTACTTGCTGCTCTTTCAAAAGAATCAGATTTATTAAGCGAACCCCTTCTTATTACTAACGTATTAGATAGACCACTGTTCATAGAATTTGAACGATCAAAATCGAGTGACTCTTGATGTGGTACTACGATCCCCGGTGATCCTATGCTATGTGGACTGGGAATAGCAAGAATGATCGTGTCTGCAGTATCATTCATGCCATTAAGAGAACCTCGTTTACCAAAATTGTTGGTATCAATCTTGAATTCATAATTTCCACCATTACTGTAATGGTCATCATTATTGCCTTCAGAAGTATCTTCATAATCATCATCATCATCTGTGGCAGGTTCAAGACGAAATTCTCCATTTCTAGCTGTCTCTCTTTTTCTGTTATTGTTGATCCTTGAGGAATTTGCGGATGTAGTAGCTGAGACAATAATTTTTACATTTGTATCATTATCACTTTTTTCGGTAACATTTCCACGTGCATAACGAATCTTGGAGTGGGATGAGTACTGTTCCAAACTTCCCTCTCGTGAGAGGATTACATCCTCATTTTCATCATCTTGTTCAGCCAAATCTTGGGAAAAAAATTTATGCTGCAGTAATTCATCTACAGTTAGTCGATCCTCTGCATCTATTTGGAGGCAACTGCGAATAAAGTCCTGCGCAAATGATGATAAATGTGAGGGGATAGGCGGTGAATTTTTAGCGCTTGCAATAGCATAGGCGACACCCTGAGCGTTGGTTCCAGCAGGAAATGACCACGGTACTCCAGTATCATTTGTCATTTCAAGACAAAGGCAACCAACACCCCATACATCTGATTTCGCCGTAGCAGTTTCCCCACGACAAACTTCCGGTGCCATCCACAGTGGTGTCCCTCCTCCTCCAAGTGTAATTTGAGGAATATTTAAATTTTTACAGCAACCAAAATCAACAATTTTAGCATAACCTTTTTCATCCAAGAGAACATTTGCACCCTTTATATCACGATGAATAATACCATTTTGGTGTAAATGTTGCAAACCCAATAGAACCATTCTTGCATATCGCTGCATCACTGATTCCTTAAATCTTCCTACTGATGAACGTAGAGATTGAATACTACCTCCACTGATGTACTCCATTATAATATAGTGATGATGTCTGCTAAGTCGTGATCCAAAATAACGAACACAATGTGGATGAGGAGGAAGACTACTTAATGTACGAACCTCTCTATCTATAGCTTTTGCATCGGTATCACGTTTCATTTCTTTTATAGCGGCAAGTGAACCATCAGAGAGAATAGCTTGATACACTGTACCAAATCCACCTGAGCCTACAATTTTACCACGTTGAAAACAAAGAGAGCGTGGAACTCTACTGACTGAATATTCATCTCCTGAACTTGGGCTGATGTACGCAAAACTCTTTCCCCATCCATTAGAACCCCGAGAGTTCACACTGATACTGCTACTCCTCGCTGTAGAAAGACCCGTTCTGCTTGTCATAACATGTAGTCCAGAGCCTCTTGCACTAATCTCCTCCTTGAAGGGTGTAATGTGTTGAACACTCGTGATGCGACTTGCGCTGCTTCGAGGGGAGAAGATCAACTCCTCTACTTCAGCCATTCCACCACTAGTTAAAGACACACGACGATTTACAAGTTGCCGTATTGCAGGAAAATTAGTGGAACTACGCCCAGGTGAGGGTGGTAATGGAGGTAGTGGATCAGTGAACTCCACAATGGAGTTGTGATCCTGAGACTTTCTCGTGTCTGTGGTATCCTTGAGCGGATCGCAAGGAGGTTCAACAGATGTTTCCATGTTTAAAAATAATAAGAATAATAATAACAATAAGAATAATAATAATAAGAATAATAATAAGAATAAAAACAATAAGAGTTACTATAGTGTAAAGAGGAATGTTATCACACTATCCTCCTTTTTATGTTGTTGTTGTTGTTGTGGTTGTTCTTTTCCTTTGTGCAACTCTTATTTTGTAGCTTTGAACAAAACTTCTACCTGAAGAATTCAACCACGTGCCGCAAAAAAAAAAAAAAAAAAAACCAAAACGGTTGAAAATCAAAAGAAGAAAAAAAAAAGATAATCATTAAAGCATCGTACAGAAATTTTATCAAAAACCAAAGAAAAAAAAAACTTCTTAACAATGTCAAATTACTGTAAACC